GGGCAGCCCATGTTCTAAATGGGATACACATGATGGGCTTTTTTCTATGCTAGAGATTGCAAAAGCTACCGGGCCTTGAGCCATGAAATGAGATTGCTGCATGAGTGATACTGTGAATCAAGCACAGAACAAACGAGAAACGCACCCCCCCCCCAAAAAAAAAAAAAAAAACATCCCGCAGGCAGTCAAGCTCCGTGGGCCCGGTGATGCACCACGGCATCAAGAGCCACAAGGACGTGGCCGCGTGCCTCGGCAGGAAACTCGCTGCCCCCTTTTGCGTCGTTTCGCGGCCTCTTGTTTTTTTGTTTTGGGCGGGGGGTCTTGGGGCAAACCAAAAAAGTATCGGTGTGTGTTTTTGTGTTTTATGTTTTCCACCAAGCAGGCAACAAATAGATATCCCCTTTTCGCATTAAAAACAAAACAAGAACAGAAAAACATGAAAAATACCCGGAAAAAAAAACCTTTGATTGATTTTTGCTGTCTTGCTTTCCCCCAAAAAGTCGTTGGATTCGGTTTTTCCTGATCCGAAGCTGGCGAGGTACTATGAGGACACCGCCTCCTGCCATCTCCGGGGCGGGGTGCAGGTGCAGAAGGAGCAGCTCGGGCAGGCGGCTCGGCCTCGGTAGCGATGGGCGGGCAGGCCCCGAGACGAGCACCCGGAGCCCCGTTTTGTTTCCCCAGAATTTGCCCCCCTTTTTGTTCTTTTGCTGCTTTGGGGTCCCTTTGTTCTCCACTAAACAGGAAAGATATATATATATATATTTGTTTTTGCAGGGGTCCTAGTTCCAGCCTAGAAACGGGTGTGGCTCAAAATTAAAGAGCTAGGAATACGCAGGTTTTTGTTGGGTTCCACTCACCAAGGTCCTGGGACCCCATATGGCCGTTTTTTAGCTCTACGCCTTTGACCGAAAAAAAATGGCCATACAGATGTTCACGTTTCTTTTTTTCAAGAACATGTCGACACAAATACGGGTTTCATACGGGCGAGTTACGCAAATGACCGGAAAAAATCCTGGCCACACGGGCAAATACGCCCAACTACGGGAGTTTGACCGGAGAAAAAAACGTACGGGGTGCCAGGGTGCCATTATGGTACATTCGTTTGAGCCACAGCCAAATTGGTGGATTTACAAAAACTGGCTGGTGCTCCGGGAATTAGGGAATGACCCTCATAAACCATCCCTGAGCCCATCAAACCCCGGGTGAAGGTTGAGGGACCATCCCCAACCGCAAATGGGTGCGCCGAGCGCCGAGACCGCCCTGCAGCCTGGCACCCCGTGTGGCTATGTTTGTTTGGTCAAACTCCCGTAGTTGGCCGTATTTGCCCGTATGGCCATGATTTGTTCCCAGTCATTTGCGTAAATCACCCGTATGAAACCCATATTATTGTCAACATGTTCTTTAAAAAACAAGTGAACATCCGTATGGCCATTTTCGGTCAAAGGCGTATGACCTAAAAAACGGCCAGATGGGGTCCCAGGAGCACATGGTCTTGGGTAGACCAATTTAATGCCAGGTACTCACAGGGGAATCACCAGATTGGGTTCACCAATTTGGATGTCTCACTTGGCTGTCTGACCAAACTCATTTGAGCGCTCCAAACTTCTTTCGCTTGAAGACATTATTCGTGAATCATTCCGGATTTGAGCATGCTTTCCCTCTGCGTGGAAGACCGGCTTCGCAGAAGAGTTTTATCAGCGTCGCGACGAGTTTCGCGTGAGCGAAAGCGCAGCTTCTTCACAGCGCTTGTGGTTTTGCTGCAAGTTCGCTGATCTCCGCTCCAGGTGGCGCTGTCATTGGCCGCTCCTCGCTTGCACAGAGTATCTGCAATTCGCAGCAAGATCGCGGGAGTTCTCGCCGCATCCGCGCATCCGATACACTCCCTCAGACCAACCTTGGTGGCTCCCAGCCATCCAGTTCCTTAGCTTTTCAGCCTTTTTGTTTTCGTGGTAGTTGCCATTTGACCCACTAAAAGTCAGTCAAACTTTTAGCGGGAGATCAGAAAACGGGCAGCCCAGTAACATGGAAGCTCCCGAACGGACCCTTTCGGAAGACTTGGCTCCACATATGGGTATGGCTCAAAATTAAACAGCTGGGATTACGCGGGTTGTAGTCTTTGGTTCCATTTACCAAGGTGTCATTTTGGTACCACTTTTTTCAGCCAGAGCCATATGGGCCTTCTGGGAGCTTGCCGTTGCCGCTTCCGGCTGAGGGGGTGTGTACCGTACCAAGGAGTCATACACGGACTTGTATCTGCAGGGGGACTGCGCGCAATGTGCTGGCCACTGTGCCCGAGCCTTAGAGCGCCACGGGAAGTCATGGGCTGGCTGTCGAGCCCACTGGCCCGTCTTTGCGTGGACGGCACAAAAGCCTCTCTTTTTGTGTCTTTGCGACTCGCTCAGTGCAGCTAGGTGCGCGGCGTTTTCTTGTTCGGGGAGGTCAGGCCTCAAAGGCAGCAACAGCTATTCTGTGTCTGCTCTGCCTCTCTTGTTCAAAAGGAAAATCAAAGGGACACGAAGATTTTGGGGGTGCCGCCATGAGACAAATAGCAACTTGTGTCGAAGCATGAGGAGTGTTTTGGGGGTGCCCCTTTCACCTCGGGTTGAAGGGCAACCATTTCGAGGCCATTTTGCGGGCTCCCCTTTGTGAAACACATACCTATTTGCTACACAGCTTGTGTTGGATGAATGCCACGAGCCACCATGTTTGATCTTCTTTCGCGTGCGTGCCGTATATGCGTCTGTCTTTTTGTCCCGAAAGCATTGCGAAGGATTCTTCCGGAAAAATCGTCAGCGAACTCGCACGAGCACACTCGCACGAGAAATCTTGCACGAGCAATCTGGCATGAACACACTGACAAGAGCACACTCGCACGCGAAAACTTGCACGAGCACACTTGAACGAGAAAGCACGAGCGCACTTGACGACGAGCACATTTGCACGAGCACAAACTCGCACGAGAAGACTTGAACGAGAGATGAAATGGCGACGCGGTGGGGCTGAACCCACTCTGCAAAACCTCCATTTGCTTAAGTAGTATGATTTATTTTCCCTGGTTTTAAACGGAATTCATCACTACTGGAAAAAAATATATCATTTTTCCCTGAGGCCTTCACCAAATGGAAGAACAACTGATCCACCCTTGGCGGATGGATCGTCGAAGGTCAAAACCTCGCACTTCGGCCGTCTCTGAGGGGATCGATCGGCGTGGTCTGCGCCGCCAAAAGGAAAACTACCTGGAGTCTCCATGAACCGAATCAAAAATGGGTCCACGACCCCTTTATTTTGGGTAATGACCCACCATTTTTGATTCGGGTCATGGAGACCCCAGGTACCATTTTGAGGGGCACCCTAAAAAAAGAAACACACACACACACACACCATAGCCAAACGGCGAAATTGTTAGAGCTCCACTTGTTCGGCTGCATACATTCCAGTTTCTCCAACTGGGTTTCGTCGAAAAGCCCCCTTGTGGTTGGCACTTTTTTCGGGGAAAACAAAGCGATAAACCGGTCGCCATGTTTCTTCCCCAGAATTAGGTCTCCTTTTTTTGCTTTTGTTGGGTCCCTCTGTTTTCCACTAACCAGGCAAACAAAATCTCATTTTTTGCAGGGGTCCTCTTCTTCCAGCCTAGGTTTTAGGATTCTGTTTTGGATAGACCCGCGAAGCTCCTGCATTGAGGTCGCCAACTTCACCTGCCGACCGCTGGATATGGACATCTGACACGCCAGCGCTGGCAAAAAGCTGCGCCAGGAGTCTCCACCAAATATGTTTTGGGTAGACTCAATATGGGTGGATCGTCTTTTTTGAGGGTACCCATGTTTGTTCTTTTTCTTTTCTTTTTTTCTTTTTTTTTGGGGGGGGGTTAAAGGGAACCCACAAGGAAGAACATCGTTAAAGGGATCATAAGGAAGAACATCCATTTTGTTGCGTCTCCAAAAAACGGCACACCCATACGTTTGCTTGAAAAAGACAAGAGAGCGTGCATCGATTGCCTGTTCGGAGAGAGCTGAAAGATCAACATGGAACCCACCGGAAGGCCTTTGAGAGGAGCCTTGAATCCACTGCAACGCAAATGATACAACGTTCTTGGCGATTCTTGGCGAGGTCGAGCGTGCAATTCTTTTGGGTGTGTCATTTCGAGGACCCCCCAAGAAACAAAAGGTGTTCCTTTCGGTTTTCCCTAAAGCCTACAAAGAAAGCAGCTGAAGAACTTCAGTCGCAATGTTTCAGTTCAGCCTGGGACGAACACGAGGATGGTTACTCGAGGAGTTTTATTTTGCGTCGGTCTTGCACATGTTCTTTTCAAGCCAGCTTGAATCATCTCAGATTCGAGTGTCATAATTTGAATACGCACAACAATATACATTCCGCGCCATGAAGGTGGATGTTCACTTGCCCAGCGGATATGGTTGTTCCATCTCACTCTCATCGAAAAGGCCAATCAGCGAGCTGAAAGCTACAGCGCAGCAGCATTTCAAGCGCCGTTTGAAGCTCACTGCGAAAGGCCTGCATACATTCCAGTTTCTCCAACTGGGTTTCGTCGAAAAGCCCCCTTGTGGTTGGCACTTTTTTCGGGGAAAACAAAGCGATAAACCGGTCGCCATGTTTCTTCCCCAGAATTAGGTCTCCTTTTTTTGCTTTTGTTGGGTCCCTCTGTTTTCCACTAACCAGGCAAACAAAATCTCATTTTTTGCAGGGGTCCTCTTCTTCCAGCCTAGGTTTTAGGATTCTGTTTTGGATAGACCCGCGAAGCTCCTGCATTGAGGTCGCCAACTTCACCTGCCGACCGCTGGATATGGACATCTGACACGCCAGCGCTGGCAAAAAGCTGCGCCAGGAGTCTCCACCAAATATGTTTTGGGTAGACTCAATATGGGTGGATCGTCTTTTTTGAGGGTACCCTTTTTGCGGTTGGTGGGAAGGGAAGCCAAAAGGACAGCCCACCTTCTGTTTCTTGGGGGCGGGGGGTTGATAACAGACACCCAAATATGGAACTGCAGTGTCAGAAACGATGGTGTTCTGTGTACCCCTCCCTTTTTTGTTGAACCCAAGTGCGTGGGTTCAGCAAAGCAAGTGCCCAACTTATCAGTGGTAGCGTTTCGTGGGCAAAGTTGTGCGGCCCTAGACAAACCACAAGGGTAGACACTGTATCTCACTTGTCCAAACAGAGTCCACCTGAAGTGACCTTTTGCTTTCTCCATGTTGATTCATTTGTACCCCCTGCTCCAAATACCCACTTCTTTTCGGGTATTTTTGGGGACCGATCGGTTGTCCAACATAATTATCTCCTTTTTTAGTAGAGGGTCGACATGATACCAACTAAAAAAAGTGGGTATTGGGTTTAAGGGGCAGTCCTCTGGTTCCAAAAGGGGTAAACGACGATCCACGGCGAACTCCATAAAGATCGGCAATGTCGAAAAGTCGGATCGAAGCCTGGTATAGGGAAAGAAAAAGCAAATCCCTTGGCATCAGGGTTGTGGAATCAGGGGCTTTATTCCCACTTCTGTGATACAGTTGGGACTCTCCCCCCTTATATGGGGTGTTAGTCTTTGGGAAGCCCTTTGTGTTGTATCACAGAAGTGGATTCCATTTCCCACAACCCTGCTTTGCATCAAACACGGGCGTCCCATGGGGATTGTCTAAGCCAGCCGGTGTGCGGCTTAAGGACTCAAGCAGCAGAAAAGGCTCCAAGTCGCCCCAATTCGCCTGCATTTTTTTTTGGAACTGGCTGGTGCGGTAGAGAATGAGAAAATGGAATGACCCCGATTTCTACCATCCCCAGTGAGTTTCCTGGGGACGCTCGGTCATTCCCGACCCATCGAGCCAGCTTTTGGTGGTGGACTAGTACGAGTTACCGAGCCAGTCCTGCCACGATCTAAAATATCCCTAGCCGAATCGTCTGGTTCCAGAAGAATTCTTAGATGTTTGTAGGGTTTAGCAGGGGGGGGGACCGAATTTAACACAGTAGTTAGTTTCACTTGTCGCTTTTCGGGTATCAGTTACAGCTCAAGTTCATGCATTGAAGAGTCACTTTTGGGTTTGGTGGCCATTTTAGTGGCAGACCAAAAGTTTGGGTTCATCGGTTTTTAGTTGGCTTTGTGGGGGGCTTCCAATTTAACCCACAAGTTGAACTTTTAGCAGCGGAAAGAGGCCAACGGACAGCCCACGCTCCTGATTCCCTAAACGGCCTGCCCCCCCGGAACAACAAACTGGTTCTTCGACCCCCCCCCCCCCCGAACAACAAGTCCCCCCCCCCCCCCCACTTGTTGTACGACCCCCCCCCACAACCGCTTGAATGGCAGACCTGCTCCAGGTACATCGCCTCTCGGCGCCTCGATGATCCCACCATCCTGCAGCAGCTGGTTCCGCAGGCCGGAATTGGTCGAGGCCGCGAGTTGCGCCAACTCACGGCACACCGAGGGTTGCGTGGTGTTCCGCTTACCCCCCGTAACCTCCAAATGCCCGGCCGTTTTCTGGGGTATGATGTCGGCCCTCTAGTAAAAAAGGAAGTATTTACCATGGAAAGCCGGGTTTTTTTCCAAAAATACCAACTTAAAACCGCGGGTATTTGGAGTAGGGGGTACAATCGGAAAACCCACCGCCGACGTTCAGCGCGTCCGATGCAAAGAATGGTGTGGATCTATCCATGTTGCGCAATTCCATCAGTGTCAGCGATCCAACAAACATACGCACTCAAATAACATGTTAGTACCTGTGTAACCTTTGTTGCCCTTTGGGGTTGTTTTGAAAGTGCCGGGGGGCTTCCAACAATCAAGCAGTTGCTTGTCCTTTGTCGTTTGAGCAGGCCGGCTCGTGTTGGCTCCAGCCAGAATACGTCCTACATTTCGCGGATCAAAGCCATCATGTTCTATCTCTGCGCGCTTTCATTGGCCACCCTGTGTGCGCGTGCGGCAGAGCACTGTGCCACCCCGCATGATGGAGAGCTTCAAAGCCTAATTCAGACAGCCGTCGGCCGCACGAGCCTTGACACTCAGGAGCTGGTCGAGGCAGAGGCCCAATTCACCCACGGCGAGAGCGACCATCACGACGTCGGAGGTGATCGCATGCAGGCGGCCAGGCACAACTACGCCCCGATCTATGCCAAGCACATCACTGAGCTGCTCAAGACCGGGATCTCAACTCCAACCATTGCTGAGACGGGCATCTTAACCGGAACAGGTCTGGCCATGTGGAGCAAGCTTTTCCCGAAAAGCCAGGTCTACGGTTTCGACCTGAACACCACTTCATACCTCAGCAACCGCGAGAAGATGCGTGAGCTTGGCTTTAAAGACGACCGAGTTGTGGTCACGCAGATGGACCAGATGGCAGAGACGGCAAAGAATCAGGAGCTGCTTCGCTCCGTGCTACGTTCACCTCCCTCAATCGCTATAGACGACGGCTATCACATTCCACAGGCTGGTGAGTTGACTTTCCTCAGCTTCAAGCCGTTCTTGAATGAGAAGTTTGTCTATTTCATCGAGGATGTTCTGGTCCAAGACATTGATGCGGGTAGGTGGAAGCCAGTGGAAGCAAGCATTCTGGCAGCTTGCAGCAGCTGCAAGTTCATTATGGAGTGCCCGGCATCCTCTGACAAGCCTGAGTGTGTGGCCGTTGTCCGTTCTGTGTAAAATCACATGGACGGGCAAGGGGCTCCATCGGAGTTCTGAGGCTGCCCTGGAAAAAGTGTGTTTGGAACAAGTTGAACAAAGGGGATTTCCAGGCCAGCAAAAGGTGCTCAGATTGGAAGAGCAACCCATTTTAGTACCTCGTGGTGGTATGGATACCCTGTTGTTCACCGGCATCCAGTTCCCTTTTTTTAGGCAGGTTCACCCATTTTGATTTCAGCTTCCCTTGCCCAACTCTCGCAAGAGAAACCAGAGAAAACGCACTCCCTGAAGGGAAGCAAATCTCACGACTTTTGGGCTAAGCGGCTTGCCCTTTCTTGAAGAGCAACCATCCCCCAGAAAGCCTCCGAGAGTCAATCCTACCAAGGGTTTCCCCAGCTAGGCGCCCTTTCGCACCTTTTTTTGGGGGAGGGTTCTCTTAGTAGAGACCCTCAGAGCATGTCGAGCGGTTTTTGGGTTTCCCCAATCGGTGACCAGCTCCATCAGGGATTGAGCAAACATACGCACTCCAATAACATGTTAGTAACTAGGTCGCCCCTATTGCCTTTGGGGGTGTTTTCGAGATAAGCGCGGAATGTGACTGGGGCTTCCAACAACCAAGCAGTTGCTTCGTCCTTTGTCATGTTGGGGACGTTGTCGGAAACTGCTACCTCATGTTGGCTCAAGAGTTTTCTATGTTTTCAGCTTAAAAACCACGTCCTACATTTCATGGATCAAAGCCATCATGTTCTATCTCTGCGCGCTTTCATTGGCCACCCTGTGTGTGCGTGCGGCAGAGCATTGCGCCACGCCGCATGATGGAGAGCTTCAAAGCCTAATTCAGACAGCCGCCGGCCGCACGAGCCTTGACACTCAGGAGCTGGTCGAGGCAGAGGCCCAATTCACCCACGGCGAGAGGGAGCATGGCAACGTAGGGGGCGATCGCATGCAGGCGGCCCAGCACAACTATGCCCCGATCTATGCCAAGCACATCACCGAGCTCCTCAAGACCGGGATCTCAACTCCAACCATTGCTGAGACGGGCATCTTAACCGGAACTGGTCTTGCCATGTGGACCAAACTTTTCCCGAAAAGCCAGGTCTACGGTTTCGACCT